AGGGGAGACATCTGACAGAACCATCGTAATGCTCAGGAGTCATACACCTCCAGAATACCTGAGCAACTAAGGGTCACGATACATGGTTAACACCTCTCACATCCATAGCACAACCTTGGTGCAAGTCTGGCTTCTCTGCAGAACTGATCCTGTTCCCTCTCTAGGTGTTTCACTCTCTACAGCCAGCTTCTAGGTAGAACTACTTTCTCTTCTAAAATCTTTCATGGGAGGAAAAAAGGTTTGAAATGATAAACCCTCCCAGACATTAATTCAGCACAGCTGGGGCCACGCAACACTGCATGGATGAGGGAAGAAAAGGAAAGAGATGGTCACCCCTCTCTTCTTTCTATTCCAGACTGGCAGGAGGCCAAACTGTCTCTAAGAGTAAATGAGAGCAACATAAAAAATCTCTGTTCCATCTGAGGATCCTAAGGGACCCATACTGCTAATTCAGCCCTTCATGTCAGCCTACTAAATAGATCAGAGGAGCATAGATTACATACATCAAAGTTTCTGATTTATTTTACCTTAAGTAATAACAGTTACATGTTCCACATACCAAACAATACCTTGCCCTAACTTACATAGATTTTTGAAACTGCACTTTGGAAGAGTCATCAAATATGTTATCATCTTATACAAAGAAGAAAAAATACATTTGGTGTGATGCTTACCTAATACTCAGTATCCCTGAGCAGCAGATGGGCATTGATTATATAATGGCATGGGGAAGGAACTATGAATAGTGCATCCCTGTTTGCAATCTCTGCAACAGCATATTAGCATCAAAATTCTTATCAGAGATTATTAGATTAGATTGAATTCCTTTTAAAGCCTGAGGAATCTAGATCTTTACATCTCAAAAGGGGCAGATGAAAAATTATCACTACAAAGTGCAGGTATTACAGGCCACATGAAGCAAACTATGGAGAGAAATAGGATAGAAAAAGGATCAGACCATGCTTGCTTTGCAAAAATAAAAAAAAAATTGACAGTTCCACATTCCGAAAACTTTGAAACAAGGTCATCCACTTTGCTTTTTTATTTCTGATAATGTCATTTTACTCAGGAGGTCTACTTGCACAAGCAAAAGCTTTCAGTCTAGTTCAAAGATATCAATGAAGTAATATGTGAAGAAAATAAATACCAGTGTGGTCTCGATTTCTGAAAATATCTTAGTCAATCTGAATTTCCTTTTAAAATTGAAACTCTTGGTATTAGTAAGTGGCTAAATGAGAAACCGTTTTTTAAAGCTGCAAAGCAGTTGTTCGCATGAGTGACTCCATGAGAACATTTACCTGGAGAATATCAAATGCGGTAAAGATGCTCACAAAATAGGAGTCAAAGCTTGCTGCCACAGATGTGCTAAATAGTAATAATAATGTGCTAAAAGTCTTCACTTTCCCACCACAAATAGTCTGGCAGGACATCTCATAATAGGAAAGCCAGGGATTTATCTTTAACATATTTGTAAGTGTGGCTGAACCAGTGCCTACTGTGTCACATTTCCATTCATAGAATATCTACATATTGCAACAGAAGAATGGCATCCTGCATCTCTATCCCAACAGTGTTGGGGCATCTGTTCAAGTTAAAACACCAGTTCAGTTTTCACTATTGTATCAAAAGTTTGTATATGAAATGTCTTAAAAACTTAATTGGCAGGTCCACATTCTTTACAGTTAATAACAGGAACAAATAATTAGTTTGCATTTCAGGCACCTTTTTTTTCCCTTTTTTTTTTGTGAGAAGAATTATTTAATTTTTTAATTATTCATTTATTCAAGAGAACTTACTTTTAGTTAGAGAACAGAAAAAACATGGTGTGGGGGGAAAACATAGGAACAGTTACCAACACAATACAAGATGATGAAGCACTAGAAAAATAACAATGGCTGTCATCTTGTAAAATGCAAAATATTTTGTCTTGTGATCCCATTATCTCCCCAGTAGGCCAACCCTGCTGGCCCTTGACTTTGATTGTTTCAGGTTAGGGTTTCCATTTCAATGAGGGTAAGAAACCACAGCTCTGTCTCCCTTCGTTTGGAGTTGCAGGGCCACAGCACTGCTGCTGATCACTGTTGCGGCATCACTAGTTATGAAACTGAAAAAACTAGCCTCTTAAAAAAAAAAGTGCTTTCCTTTATACGTGGTCACTTTGGGGTCTTTTATTACACAAAGGCCAAAATTATTGCAGTGGCCAGAGTAGTGATTCACTCTTCTACATTTTACTCTACTATCACTTTATAGCTGTTTGGTTTTTTTTTCATTTTAATCCGAAAAAAGCAAATCTTTCTGACAGGTCTGTGCAGCTCCTCTTAGCCAAGCACAGCTTGAAAAAAGCACCTTCCTTGATAGACTTAATTTTAAGTTCTCGGCAAGCATTACATCAATATTTAACCTCTTCTCCCTCAGGGATAGCTGAGCCTGTCTGGCTTCCTGGTGTAGCAAGGACCACGCTGGCCACTGCCATTGCTCAGACCCAGCTGTGTGCAGAGGGTTCCCGGCCATAGGAACCAGTTCAGAAAGTGAAGGGTAGGCAGATGCAGCCCTTCAGACTTGCCCTCTCCTGCTTGTCCTGCTTCCTGCAGGACTGACTTAACACTCTGCTGATAATAGGCAGTGGGGGCTGTGCCCCTTGTATCCCTATGAGCTTGCAATTTCATTTCCTTGCCATCACAGTACCTTCAGTTCCCTACAACCCCAGCTTTCCTTGCCTGTCTCCCTGCCCGCTCAGCAGACCAGCAGGTGTGACTGGGCCCTGGCCAGCCTGGGACCAGCTGTCCAGATGCCTGGCTGGGAGCCGGTGGCTTTCTGAGCCGGAGGTTTGGACACTGTGGTAGGTACATGGCCAGAACACCCAGGCAGTGTAGGATGAGCATGTGCTGCTCCTCAGCAGTGAAAAATGCAATACATGGCTCAGAAGGCTCTGCTGGGAAAGACCTGTAGTGCTACTTCTCACCAGAGCCTGCTGGTCAGGACATGCCGGTGGTCTCATCCTTCCTTTCCATGCAGCCCTCCTGTGCTGCTGCCACAGTGCTGGCCATGCTGAGCCAGCCTTGTCAGGCTGAGCAGTAAGGACCGGGCCTAACAGGGGTGAGAGCTCGATTGTTCCCCACAGAGTGCAGGAGTGAGAATGCTCTCAGCTTCCTTGCTGGCCGATCCACCTTGGATGCTCTGCAAGTCTCGATTTATGACCATTTTCTGATGAGTTTACCTCATTTGTAAGCCCATAGCACTTTAAAAGAAAGCAAACAAACAAAAAGCACAAGAGCCAAAAATTCTGGACCATCTCACTATGAATCTGGAGAGGGTTTTTTGTTTGTTTACATTGTCAAGTAATAAAATGTAATGTGGATTTTGCTTTTGGAAAAAAGTAAGGCAAAGGGGAGCTTCCTCAGAAGGAGGGATGTGTTTGTATGTCTATCTGTCTGAGTGCTGATGGCCTTGTGCTGCAGTCTCAAGGTTCTGAACATGAAAATGAATCACATCAGCCCTCAGTAACATTTCCCAGGGAATCAAGGGTTCTGGTTTCGACACATACGTGAATAAATGTAGCAACGATCTTTGTTGTCCTGCCTTGGATGATGTCGTATATTTCCATAAGAACACTGGGTGACAGTACATTTGAAGGCTTTGGGCTAAATGTGTAATGAGCATGAAATTCCTTTTAATGTCAAAATAAGACCAAAAGAGAAAAAAGAGTGGAGAGGTCATAGGGGAAAACAAACAAACAAACAAACAAACAACAAACCACAATAATAAATATGACTTTTGGGGCCGCGTGCGTCTGGCTGTCACCGGGACGAGCCCACCGAGGCAGACACCCCGGTAACATCCAGATAATCTTATTATTTGCGTGACATTAGCCATGAGGGGGGGAGGGTTGGGAGTGGGGGGAGGGGAAGGGAAAGAAGACCGCCAAAACCAGCCGGGCGGCGCCTGTCCCCAGCCGGGCCCCTCTCGGGCGTGTCGGGGGCGCGGTGCCCCCCGGGGCGGCGGCGCGGGGAGGCAGCGGCCCCGCCGCGCGGGGTGCGGGGTGCGGGGGGCTGGGCGCGGCGCGGTTTGGCGTGCGCAGCTACTCGCGGCGGTGCGGTAGCGGCGGGGCCCTGCGGAGCGCGGTAATGATGTCAACTTGTTATTTACTTTCCAGCGCCGAGTGACGGGGCAGCGCGAAAGGAGAATCAATCAGCCGGCGGGTGACCCGCCAGGCGGAAAAAAACCGGGAGCAGCGCGGGGGAGGGGAAGCACATGGAGCCGCGTTGCATCATCCGCCCGGGGGCGGTGGGGGGGACACGGACGGGACGCGGGGACACGCGTGGGAGACGGGCGCGCTGGAGGCTGAAGAGCCGCAGCGTTGCTGCCCCGCGGGTGTTGCGCTCCGGCGATAAAGCAATAAAGCCCGTTTGTGCTGATTCACAGCCCGCCCGCCCCCCGGGGCGCCGACCGGGACAGTGCACCGGGGAGCATCGCTGTGCGGTGCGGGGAGCGTTCCCGCGGCGCTGCCCGTCCGTCCCCGCCGGGCACCGCGCCCAGGACGAGCCGCCGAGTGCCAGGGCCGGAGCGCCCCGCGGTGACCTGCGGGCAGCGCCGCCACACCGGCCCCAACCGCCCCCGCCGCCCGAGCGCGGCCCGCGGGGGCCGAACGTGCGCGGGGGCGAGAGGGCACCGCGTGTGCCCCCGCGCCGGGCCGGCACCGGCGGGGGAGGGGAGGCAGGGCTGCCCTCCTCGTGTGCGTGGTGTGTCACAGTTGTTTCAGTGGCGGGGGGTGTCGAAAAACAACACAACCGCGGGCAGAGCGGGGGCGAGGGCTCTGCGGCCACCCCGGGGCACCCCCGGGGGCGTTGGCGGCGGCGCCTCCTCGGGCCGCGCGTCCCGGCGTGCGGGACCGACCCGGGTGGGAGAGGGCGCGGCTGCTTCGCCCCCCACATACCGGGGCGCTCCGAAGCCTCCCGGTGCGCCCCCTCCCCCGCCGTCACCTCCCTCGCTCCCGCCCGGTGGCGGCGGCCCCGGGCGCGGCTGTGGCTCCCCCTCGGCGCTGCTCCTGCCGCCGCCGCGCGCCCGCACCGGCCCCACCAGCCCCCCCGCCCCCCTCACCGCCATTCCGCCCCAAAACTTTCCGTTTCCCCCTTCCCACTCTCCGGGACTTCCTTGTGCCGCCCGTGCGCGCGGAGGGGAGGGGGGGGAGGAGGCGTGTGCGGCGGCGGCGGCGGCGAGGGGGGATTCGCAGCCTCCTGGCAGGCTGGCCGGGACCCCGGGGGAAGAGGAGTTGCACCATGCGCGGCAAGTGAGGAAAAGTCTCCGCCAGCAGCAGCGCCGCCGCCCCCCGCAGAAGTTGGGGCTCTCCCCGCCCGCGGGAGCGGGAGCTGTGCCTTTAACGCCCGCTGCGCCGCGAGGTGAGTTCCCGAGGCGGATTATTCATCCCGGGGACCCTTTTTTTTTTTTTTTTTTTTCCCCCTCCCTCCCTTTTGCTTTCCCCCCTCCTTTCCTCACGCCAGTCTTTCCCCGGCGTTGCCCCCCGAGCCCAGCCCAGCCCGGGCCCCGCTGCCCCCGGCGCCCCCTCTGCAGCCTGACCCGCCCGGGGGGGAGGGGGTCGCTCAGCCGCTGCTTGTTATGACGAAGTTTTTTTGAAGCCGGTCGTTTTGGGGTCTGTTTGGGGGCTTTGGGGATGTTTTCTTTGGGCCGAGGCGATGTGTGTGCGTGGGGCTGCCGTGCCTGTGGCGGGTGTTTTGCATCTGCCCCCCGGGCAGAGCGACCCCGGGGCGGGGAGGGGGGGAGGGGGTGGGGCAGTTTCTCCCTACTTCTGAGGTAGTATTTTAATGTGGTTATTTTAATTAAAAAAAATAAATGCTCGGGGGAGGGAGGTGGGGGGGAATGCGAGGTATTCATGCTCCAGTGTGGAGTTTGCAGAGCCTGGGTGGGGGAGGGGATCCCATTCATCGCCAGGGCTGGAATCAGCAGCGGGCGGAGGGGCCGGTCGCTCCCCTACATCGAAGTTTACTTCCAAGTAGGTAAACAAGTTCCCCCTCCTCGCCCCTCAGCCCCCATTCCCACCCCATGGATACGCGAGCTCTGCCAGCCCCGCTCCCAGCCCGCGGCCGCCGGCGGGGCGGGGGGTGCAGGGGAGCCCCTCGGGGCCCGGGGCTGCGGGCCTGCGACCTGTTGCACGTCCCGGGCCGGCGTGCCCAGCCCCGAAGCGGCGGGGCCCGTGGGCACCCTGCCCTCGGCTCCTGTCACCGGGCTGAGCCGGGTCCCCATTCTGTGTTGCGGGCTCAATCGCGGCGGTGGGGCTGATAGATGGGTTCGGTGCGCGGCTGAATATTGGTGTGGTGTGATGTAAAGCGAGTGACCCTTGACCTATTTAATGATATGTTGTTGGGCTCTCGGGCAGGCATCCCGCACAGCGCAACAAGGGGGGGAAAACACCAGGCCACACCCTAAAAGTTCGACTTGCATATTAATTCTTCAAAGTCGGCGTTTATACGGAATAAAGGCTTCCCTTTATGTGTTGCCTTAACATGCTTCTCGCTGTTCTCCACGAGGATTCGTACGGCGTTTCTCCTTTCCTGACGCACCAGCCTTGAAGTGTGGATGTGGATGTGTGCGGTGGGGGAGGGGAGGCGGGATGTTCGGCGGGGCTCACCCACCGCCTCCCCCCTCATGAAAAAGAAAATACTGCTGCATAGTGTTGCAGAAACCTAAAATATTCCTTTGAAAGGAGTGATGTTTCCAAATAAAATAGAGCGTAAAATTAAAATTTCAAGACTGGTGTTTTAGGCTAATAGTATGAAAATAAATATATTGTGCCGGGGGAGATCTGGTTGTAGGCAATAAATACAAGGGCTTTAGTCGTGATAAATATAATGTTATATTTTTCTTCCTTATACCATTTATTAGCAGTCCTTTAACTGAGACTGTTCCTGTGGCATATATAAGGTTTAACATCATATACCTTGCTTACCATATGATTGCACGTGATGGGCTTAGGCCTGTCCCTGTCTTGCAGTCAGTTTTCTGTCATGTAGAGAGACACTCGGCAGGTTTTGAACTAAATATATTCATTCCGTGATAGCAGATGTTGTTGGCAAGAGAGCAGGATTTGTCCTAGTGTGTGTTTTGGCGTTGTTTTTTTTTTTTCTTAAACAATTACAGATAATAATTGTGACATCTCAAAGATAGCAATAGTAAAACAGGGAAGCTTTCCCACAGAAGATTTGTAGAGGGGGTGGGAGGAAAAAGGAAAGCGAGAGGGGGAGGATGCTATCACATTAAAAATGCGTTAAACCTCTCTAAGGCTACGTATAATAATGGCAAAAGCAGTTGAGATTTGAGCAGAGCTGCTGTAGTCATTTCAGTTTTTAACACCTTCAGTGAGCTATGCAACAACCTGAGATAGGGCAGCCCTCAATGTACAAACAGACTGAGGAAGAAGACACTGGAGAGCAATGCTGCAGGAAGGGACCTGGGGGTCCTAGTTGACAGCAAGTTGAATATGAGTCAGCAGTTCCTTGGCAGCCAAGAGGGCCAGACATGACGTGGGGTGCATCAGGCAAAGCATCACCAGCCAGTCAAGGGAGGTGATTGTCCTGTTCTGCCCTGCACTGGTACGGCCTCAACCTGACTATTGTGTGCAGTTTTGGGTGCCACAGTATAAGAAGGATCTAAGGCTACTAGAGAACATCTAAAGGGTGAAGGGTCTTGGGGGAGGGCTGTATGAGGAGCAGCTCAGATCACTTGGCATGTTCAGATTAGAGAAGATTGAGGGGAGACCTCATTGCAGTTACAGCTTCCTCTTGAGGGGAAGAGGAGGGGCAGGCACTGATCTCTTCTCTGTGGTGACCAGTGACAGGACCTGGGGGAACGGCACGAGGCTGTGTCAGGGCGGATTTGGGTTGGATGTTAGGAAACGGTTCTTCACCCAGAAGGTGACTGAGCACTGGAACAGGCTCCCCAGGGAAGTGGTCACAGCACCAAGGCTGACAGAGCTCAAGAAGCATTTGGACAGTGGTCTCAGGCACCATTTTTGGATGCTGCCCTGTGCAGGGCCAGGAGTTGAACTCAGAGATCCTTGTGGGACCCTTCCAACTCAGGATATTCTATGATTCTAAGCTTGTTTTTTTCTCCCAAAAGATGAAAAACTGTGTTTCAGAAGCAAAAAACATTAAAAATTATGCATACATGTAAACACCAGCAACTGCACAACTGTCCAGGTCTCCTAGGATGTAAAAAAACTCTCTGCAGATAAGTTGTCATCTGAATACATCTGCCCTTCCCCCACACGACTGAGTAAGTAGCTCCAATGTCCTCTGCTATGCCACTGCTGAGAGTATGCTATGGTTCTTTTCAACCGATTGCAAGTATTCTCCACAGAAAGAGTACTGAAGGAGCAAAAATAGATTAAATTCTTGATAAGGAATGGGGACTTGTCTGCACCTGGAATTGTCAGGCTTCTGCTCTACCAGTTTGCCCAGTTTCCATAGTTGGAAGAGACCCACAAGGATCATGGTGTCCAACTCCTGGCCCTGCACAGGACAGCCTCAAGAGTCACACCGTGTACCTGAGAGCATTGTCCAAACGCTTCTTGAGCTTTGTCAGCTTTAGTCCTGTGATCACTTCCTGGGGAGCCTGTTCCAGTGTTCAGCCACCCTCTGGGTGAAAAACCTTTGCTTGATATCCATCCTAAACCTCCCCTGACTCAGCTTCATGCTGTTTTGGTCCTGTCATTGATTTACAGATGGGCTTTTCCCATTTTTGTGTTGACGGGGGCCAGAAGTAGACTTGTTGTCAACTTGATAAGTCTAATGTGCCGTGTCTCCTGGAAGAGCTTCCTAAACAGAGACTTCTCCTCTGTCAGCAGCAGCTGTTAAAGGTCTGTCATCCCTGAACTTGGAAGGAGTAGAGGAGAACGTCCCTCCATGCTGATGGGATCTTGTTTCTCAGTGGCTAAGTCAGCAGTGTGATAAACTTAGGGTTGAGCGATATGTTCAATGAATTCAGTTCATTGTGGGGATGAGGCTGGAAAACCCATCCCAAGGTTTAGTCTGGCCTCTGCCACAGGTAGTGCATATGTGCTTTGGTGCCATTAGCTCTTGCTGTTTGCTGCTGTAAAGAGTTCAGTGTTAAAATTTATGCTGTATTAAACCGATGTTGTTTATGTTTTAGTAGTGCCAAGGGGCCCCCATTCAAAAAAGGGCCATTTGGGGAATATTGTAGATGACGGGTTTTGCCCTGAACAGGTTGTAATGTGAGTAAGTGAGGGAGACAAAAAGCCAGGAGGGTAAATGGTGGAAAAAACTGACTCAGGGGAACAGCAGCTGATTGTGGTGCCTTATCTGCACAGCCACGGCCACGGTGTGATCTCAGCTGGTAGAAGAGAGGAGAGTTGTTAACACCTGGCAGCACTGTTGCTGGTAAATCTGTCTGCTCTGTGCAAAGAGGGGTGGGCGTCATAACATGTGATCCATATCCTGGATTCTCTTTACTACTGCTCTTTTAATTCCTAGTATTATTTTAGGTTATGTACGCCAGCCTGCTTATAAAATGATCCAGGTTTTGTAACTCTTGGGACTGCTTCTTTTTTTCATAAGCTTCATTACGAGGCAAGATGGAAGTAATTTTGTAAACTCTTGTTTCATCTGCTAAATTAACACTCCACTCCCTCTTCCCCTCCCTCATCTTGCCTATTTTTAGTTAGGAGGAAATAGCTGACCTCTTTACAACAAGAACCCATACCCCCTGGGTGCCATTTATAGGTTTCTACCAAATGGCCTACTTGGACAAGTTGGTTGAAATTAAACAAAAACACTGAGACTACAGCTCTACATAGAAATAGCAGCCTTCCTGTCAGTACAAAATCTTGGCATTTTAATGGTCCTGAAACAAACATCCAAAGGTGAAAAATGGCTTTTAGGTTATTTTTCTTTTCGTTAGTAGACAAGAGGAAATTTTAAACACTTTTTTTTTTGTCATTATTTTAATGGAATTTCGTTTAAGGATGACTGACAGTGTTTGGTTTTATGATGACAAGAAGCCTCCCAAAGTTAGGGCTGTGTAAAAGCTAGGAGCAATTGAAGAAGGGTGCTCAGTAAGAAAAGGTCATAATTTCTTACTAGTTTTCTTGTTGTGTAGAGATTTTGTCCTAGATGAAGACTTACAAGTACTAATGTTTAGTGATTCCATGGAAGTAAAAAATTGCTTTTGTTAGCTTAATTGAAAGCAAGTTTAACTCTGTAATGGGTACGTGACAGTTTTTGAAGGTAGAGGTGCACAGGCCTTTTGTGCTACTTTTCTTGCACGGCTTTTCCTGTGCATATTCGTATTTACGTTAAGTGATACTAAAAATACTGGACTACAGCAACAGGTATTGTATTTCTTCATTTGTTGTTTGACAAGAGAA